CAACCTCCACCTCCCGGGTTCAAGCGATTCTCCTGCCTCAGCCTCCCGAGTAGCTGGGACTACAGGTGCCCACCACCACGCCCAGCTAATTTTTATATTTTTAATAGAGACGGGGTTTCACCATGTTGACCAGGATGGTCTCGATTTCTTGACCTCGTGATCCACCCGCCTCGGCCTCCCAAAGTGCTGGGATTACAGGCATGAGCCACCGCGCCCGGCCACTAACGTTCTTTCATATGTATGAAATCACTCTTCATAAGCTACAAAATGCACCGTGGAAACCCTGTGGTGCCTGTGGAGAGGCTTGCTTCTCCAATTCTGTGTCTGTTCCAGCCCATCTGTCAGCCCCAACAACAGGGTTGCAAGGATGCACCCTGTAATCAGCCAGGTCTTTGGCTCCATGTTCTGCCTGCCCCATCCCCACTTTCTCCCTACCCCTCACCCCACGGACCCAGTCACCCCTCAACATACACACTCCAACCAGATGCAGGTCCTTGTTCACGCTTGTCCCCCACCTAGAACATAGTTCTGCTTCCCCACTAATACCCACATCCTAGCTTTCCATCAGTGGGAGCTGGAGCCCCCTTGCAAACTTGGTGGGTAACCAGTTCCCTGTGGTGTGTTCTTCCATGGGGTAACCCCTGGTTATCCCAGAAGGGACAAGAGCTGGAAGATGTCATCCCAATGTGGGTGGGTGTAGCTCAGCCCAGCCAGGGGCTTTCTGCTGCTTTGGGGGTGAGGAGGGTTAGGGGGTGAGTAAAGAAACAGTGAAGATTGGAGCCAGTGCTGGCGGGGGGCAGGGTACAGTGTAAGCCCAGGAAGTGAGGCTGCCAAGGATGGGAGATTGACTGCAAGGAGATGAGTGATCTTGAGGCCCTGCCTAGGAGTGGAGTGTCTGAGTAGGAGGGGACTGGAGGACCCCAGAAGGGAGGGAAGGGATGCCAGCTAAGAGACAAGCAGGCCGCCCTGCTCCCAGGGATGGACGACAGGATGCTCAGCCCTGTGGGCTCTCTCTGGAGTAGCCCAACCCACAGATCCAAGCTCCCAAGAGAGGGTGGGGAGCTAGAGAGGACAGGGCTGTCACTCTCTCGCCATGGGCCTCTGGGCAAGCCACTTCCATTTTCTTTTTTTTTTGAGACGGAGTCTCCCTCTGTCACCCAGGCTGGAGTGCAGTGGCGCGATCTCGGCTCACTGCAAGCTCCACCTCCTGGGTTCACTCCATTCTCCTGCCTCAGCCTCCCGAGTAGCTGGGACTACAGGCGCCCGCCATCACGCCCAGCTAGTTTTTTGTATTTTTAGTAGAGACGGGGTTTCACTGTGTGAGCCGGGATGGGATGGTCTCGATCTCCTGACCTCGTGATCCGCCCACCTCGGCCTCCCAAAGTGCTGGGATTACAGGCATGAGCCACCACACCCGGCGACCCACTTCCATTTTCTTGGCCTTTGTCCCCAGTTGTAAAATGGGAGCCTGGACTAAATGACTTGGGAGGGCCTTTCATCAGACATGCTGTGATTCCAAGTAGCTTGTTTCTTGGGATGCAAGGTTTCCTGGCCCTGGGCTGGGCAGAGACCTGCATGGAGAAGGCCCCAATTCCTCTGTCTTTCCTTACTCTGTAAAGTTGCTGTGGACCTAGGAAGAAATAAAGCTATTAATGAAAGTGTGAGGCATGGATTATGTTAGCTCAGCGGTGGAAGCGGGTGGTGATGAGGATGAAATGTTTTAAAATTGGTACCAGGAATGGGGTGTATGATAAGACCAGTGAATTTTGTGAACCTGAGCCCTCTGCTTCTCTTCCTTTGCTGTGAAATGAGTTATTTGGTCACACACCAGGCTGTGCAAATGCCATACAAATGGATGAGGCATTCCATGAGTACACAGATGGTGATGCTGGCAGAAGGATGAAGGGCAGGGAAGGCAAATCCACATCTAGAATATGTGTCTGTTCCAGTGAGCATGAACCTGGGCCCCACCAATGAGGAAGAGGCCAAGGTAATCAAGCTGCCACCAGGTGGCAGGCTGGTCCCTGGGGAATGTGGCCACATGGGGCCCAGTGGCTTCATTTTGTACAAAAAGGGCCTTGAAGAAGACAATGCCTAACTCACCGGAATGTGTCACCATCAGTGGGGGCTTCAGCCCAGTGGCAACAGGGACGGCCAGGCCTGAGGTGGTGGTATTTTTAGAACATGGAGGTCCCTAAGATCCCTTTACCTTATGGACATGAGCTCCAGCACATAAAATAAGTTGTCTTAAAAGATCTTAAAGTGTCCCTTGATTGCTTAATTCCATCTGCCACCTCCCTCCACTCACCCAGATGCTCAGAGGGTCGACGACTCACTCAAGATCACACAGGGCAGATGCAAAGTAGCCGCAGCGTAATTGTGGCATGGGCTACAAAGTGGAGGGATTCCTGCTCCTTCCTTGGGCCCAGCTCTCAGGGACAGGGTGAGTGTCATGCCCACAAATGGATATCAAAGGTCTTCTCGGTGCTAGGCACTGGGCATGGAGCAGTGACTGTAACCAGCAATGGTTTCTGCCCTTGAGAACAGATAGAAAACCATAACCACATACACAAGCAAGATCATTTCGGGCCACAGTAGGTGCCACAGGAACGAGATAAAATAGCATCAGAGAGGTGCTGGTGGCCAGAGGCCACTTCAGCCTCATTACCAGGGAAGGGAGACCCCTCTAAGAGCTGGTGTGTGGGCTGGCACCTGAATGGCAAGAATATTCAAGAGAAGGAACAGAGAATGCAAGTCAAAACAGTTGATACCAGCTGGGTACAGTGGGTCACACCTGTAATCCCAGCACTTTGGGAGGCCAAGGTGGGAAGATCACTTGAGGCCAAGAGTTCAAGACCAGCCTGGGCAACATAGTGAGATCCCCATCTCTAAAAAAAAACCCACAAAAAATTAAAAAGAAAAAAAAACAGCCAATAGCTTCACTGTGTTCCAGGTACTCTTCAACGTTCTTTTTATGAATTAGCTCATTTAATCTCATTCCAATCATATGAGGTAGTAAGATTATCACTGCCACTTTACAGATGAGAAATTGAGGCAGAGGTCAAGTAACTTTGCTAAGTTATAGAACCAGAACCCAAACCCAGGTAGTCTGGTTCCAGAGTTGGTGGGCCCACCCCTATGCCATTCTGCTCTGAGAGGTCACTGGCATGGGAACAAGCTTGCCTATGGAATCTGGACTCTATTTTAGCTCTATTTGGGGTAGAAATGGCAACCCATCCTTCCCAAGGGAAGTCTCCAGGCCCCTGCCAGCTAGCGCCAAAGCCATAGCAGGGGCCCCCAGCACCCCTCCGGTCCTCCCCTCCCCTCTGGGGGAATCCTGAGGTCCCAGCTCCCTGCCCCCTGCCTCTGTGCTCACAGCTATCTGGGCCACATCATTCTAAAGGGATTTGGCTCTTGGAGACAACTGGAGACTGGTGAGAAAGGGCTTAGGGATTAGACAGTGATACCCAGGAAGGTAAAGGACTTAATCAGGGGTTCAAGTGTGGGAAGTGGGGTGGGGAGAGGATTTTGTTTCTTTGCAAAGCCAGGCTGGACTGCGGAAGTGAGGAGGAAATGGGGCTCAGGGGAGGAGCCAGACAGGCTGAGTTTCTCATTCTCTGATGTGCCTTCAGAAGCAACACAATAGTCATAATAATCCCTCACCTGTGTGCGCCCACCTCTTCCCCAGCCATTACTTCACTTGCAATTTTCACAGCGATGGGATTAGTTCTCTCACCAGATCACAGACACCCAGAGGAGGCAGGTGACTTGAGGCGGCTGCAAGCCCCACAGGGCTGGGCTGGGAGGAGGGGAGGAGGCTGGGGCCAGGGCTTTTCTGCATGGCTGCCTGCAGGCACAAGGGCTTTCCAGAGAGTTCGTGCTGCCCTGGCCCCGTGGAAGTGGAGTGTTCCACAAATATTTGTTGAAGGGTTTAAAAGACTGTTCTTTCCAACTCTCAAATCACAGAGCCAATCTCTTTGCCACCCCCTTCCCCCTGGCACCACAGATTCTGAGGCCAGGGCACGCAGGAGGCCTCTGATCTCAAGGCCAGTGCCCTCATTTTAGTGAGGAAACAACCAAGGTCTAGAAGGCATGGGCCAGCAGCCCTGAGGAGACCCCCAAATGTGTGCCTTGCGGAATAGTCACGGCAGCACATTAAGCAAGGACATGGTCTCCAGTTCACACACCGGACTCCCAGTCCAGTGCTCCTTTCTGTGCGCAGAGCTTCCCCCCAAGAAGAATCTGAAGCACAGGGCTTTGTCAGCACTAGGACTGCCACCCCAACGCTTCTCCTAGATCTCTGCGTGCTACCAGCCTTCTTTAAGTTGTTCACACTCTGTGTTCCCCTAACCAAAGTCCCCAGCAAGATATATCCATCACAGAAGGCTCTCCCCTCCAGCCTGCCTGACCCAGGAGACCTGGTTCTTCCTGTTGGGCCACGTTGTTCCCTGATAGTTGCCACTACAATGCAAAATAGTCCACACCAAGGCCAGGAAAGGGGACATCTGGTTGGCAGAGGGTAGCTCAGGGAGAAGCTCCTGGAAATAGTATTTGATCAGAGTCTTGAGGGCTGGGGAAGACCTGGCAGGAGGATACAGGACACAGCAGCAACTCTTACAGAAGCAGGAGTGCAGAGGTGTGTCTAAAGGACAGTGGGAAGCTTCTCAGACTGAAATAAAGTGTGTGGAGGGGGCAAGTGGCCCTTGGTGCCACAGGGAACGCTGGGATGGGGTGGGGGTAGGCCTCAGATGCAGATCAGTGGGATTGAGTCGACTCAGGAAGGAACCAGGGAGCCATTGAAGATTCTTGAGCAGGGGTGCAACATACCTAGCAGGGAGGAAGAACTGTAGGGCAGGGATTAGGGGATGGAGAAAAAGTGGGGATGGGAGGGAGGGACTCTCTCTCGGTAGCCAGCTCCAAGGACTTCACCAGATTATTTATTTAGGTTTTTTGTTTTGTTTTGTTTTGTTTTTTGAGACAGAGTTTCACTCTTGTTGCCCAGA